TTGCGAAAAGTGATATATGTAAGTGTTAGTTAGGTAAATGTACTTGTTTCTTTGAAAACGAAATGTTATGTTTGGTCCCTTTTTTTTTCTTGGGGGATTATCCGTTCAGGGGGGTCAGGGGCTACCTTAGCTTAGAATATCGCATGTACATACTTCTCTTACGAGGTACTGTATGTACAGAGCGGTACGTTAGCGTTAGCGTGAACTGGATTACTTCTATCCGAGGTACCTACCTATTTCTAGTCGCGTCTATAACAAGACAAGCAAGCATTACCGATATATTATACTATTGCATGTTATATACCTACGTACCTTATATAATATAATACAGTTTTATATAGCGTGTTCCTTATATATTTATCAAGTAACATCAGTCACTTTCACCTTGCAGTATGTAGCAGTCTACAACCTTGAACATTGACAGCTTCACCTAATTGTTATAGACACTGTACGCGTGGATGTGAGCACTGTTTCAAAAACAGGTACGCTACTGAGGTAGAACCGGGAATGGTGGGCCTAGAAGCAGGTCTAATGTAGCTTCTAAGGTCCGCGTATGTACATATCTTATTCCGCTCAATAGGAGTTCTAAATTCGGACTCCACAGATGCCTCTAACCAAGATAGTATTAGACTCTTGACGGGCCAGCTGCTTGCAGCCGTTGGATATTCGAATCACCTACCAAGTACGGAATACATATTAGCAAATAAAGCACGGACCAATTCAGGCTCTGCAATAACAAACTTACAAACCCATAACGTACCATAACTTCAGCTCTACTTTGATTTGTCGCAATAACTTCATCGCAATCCTCCCATATCTAATTGCTCTGTTTCTTCTGTTTTCTGTATCTATTGTTCCCGTTGATCAATCCGTCCCCTGAGAATCAATCTAGTCATCATACACGTTCCCTTCCGCGCGAGGCCAAAATGCCACCTGGTACGTCATCCAATTCTATTACGACCTCGTCGCGAAGTTGACTTCAAATTACGCGAGCGCGATACACCAGCGCTGTTTCTCCCTCTCCACCCATTCGAACCCTGGTTAATTTGGAGTGATCATTCGCATCGATTGAAGCTAACGATTTACTCACAGCTATTAGCGACGACGAAGCCTCCGACGTTGGCGAAGTTACCGTTCCTCTACTTTCGACGCGCGGAAAGAAGGCTCGGGCTAGCCTAGAGGATGGCGATGGCGAGATGCGCGGTATCGTGAAAGGCGAAGTCGCAAAAGACGAAGTCGCGAATGGCGATGGCGACGATGGACAAGGAGAAGACGACGAAAACTTGGACGAGGATGAGTGCGTAGCGCACCTACGTAAATTGATTTAAAAAGAGAAGTCAAGCAGCTGTTGCTAACTAATGTCTAGGTATATCGTCGAGAAGATCCTCGCTCATGTCGTTGAACCCGATGTAAGTGACAAGTGGATACTCGTGTCGAAAAACCTGCCAACAAATTGTATAGGGCGCGTTAAAATTTAAGGTCAAATGGGAAGGTTGGGAGAAGAAATCGGATCAGACGTGGGAGAACTACGAGAGCCTTAGGTTAGTACGATCATTTCCGACTTGATATTTTACGAGTCATTCTCGACCCCGTCTACGTACTGGTTCGCGGTGCCTAACAGTCTTCGATCAGCGAGAACGCCTCCGATATCGTAGAAGAGTACCTTAGTCGCTTCGGCGGACTAGAAAAGATTCTAGATGAAGGGAAATCGGCACTGAAGACGAAAAAGCGCGGTCGACCTGCGTCGGGAACCCCGACTAATGGCACGAAGCGGCGGCGCAACGAAAGCCATCCTGCTTCAGAAACCCCTCCGGCTAGCAACCGAGCCTGGAAGCCTCCGGTAGGTTCCTGGGAAGATGAGGTCGAGTCTATTGACGCTTGCCATGATGAAGTTAGGGGCAAGTTGGTCGTATACCTTACCTGGAAGAACGGAAACAAAACCCAACATGATACCAAGGTCGTATACAAACGATGCCCGCAAAAGGTCTGTTGGCAATATTAAGGTACTATTCTCAACATACTCACTAATAGATGATTGCAGATGCTTCAATTCTACGAACAGCACGTCAAGATTGTTATGGCATCATCAGATGGCGCCATCAAGGAGGAATAACGCATATCTATTATACGAGCCGAGTATGCTGGTTAAGGGGTATTCGGAAGATTTTAGTCTAACAGGAATCAACAGATGGCCAACATAGCCTTACTAAGTAAGGGCTTGGATGATGCCTCAATACTAACACAAATACCGGATTCTTATATGAATTTCTAGTCTGTACAATGAGTGGTGGATAATCGCAAGGAGATGAAAGGTCTCAATACTACCTATGCATACTTACTGTAAGGTTATCGGCAGAAGACGCGGTGTCGACGCGATGCGAGTGCGACAACCCGGTCGATTGCCGAACGCGTTGAGAAAATTCTAATCTTTGTTTTTTTCTTCCGATGACTTTCTACTTAATTGTAATAGCTACTAGTCGCTTATAAGTTTCAGTATCACGTCGTCTTGGACCCTCTCTGCCTTAGCAGCTTCAAGTTAAAAAGGGATATCTACAGTTTTCAGTTGTGAAATCATCCGGCCGTCTGGTTATACCCCTGTATACAATTAACGCGTATCAAGGCTACGAGGTACGTAGGCGTGGCATGATGCAGCTCGAAATCCGGAGGTTGGGGAATAAGACGCTAAAAAACGGTTAGGCTTGAAGCTCGGGCCAGTTTTTCTCCCTTGTTACCCCCTGCATCAAGCTGCTGCCAACCACCGGGTAAGAAAGCTACCTACCCCTGCTCTTCCCGACTTGCCCTATGTACCGGTCTACACTAGGTTCCCCCCCCCGGCTGCCCAGCTGTTCGCTGTTCGCTGTTCCAAGCAGCTAAGAACCCTCCTTCCTGCCTTGCGGATTTCTAGGCCCAGCCTCGCTATTTACTCGAATAGAATGGCGGGGCAACCAAGTATTTGTACCTCGATGCCCATTCCATTCGCCATGTCTTTTTCTTCGTTCTCTTTTTGCTACCTACCTTTTATGTATCTCGCTTGCTTACGATCTGAATAAAGTACATTTTTTATGTTCTATTCTGTTCTGTTCTGTCTTTGAATTTTCAAGCGGCATTGAAGTTATTAGATCCGTTCCCGACTGTCGAAGGGAAACCCATCCATCACTTCGCTATCTATCTATCTATCGTTGCTTATCGTTATCGCTTCGACGATACGTTGTCCAGCGTCACATCATTCGATAACTAGGTACCTATTTTAGACGACGACAAGATCAGAGTGTCTAGTTGTCAATTCGTCTTAACTAGCCTGACAGCTTGATTCCGTTGGAATTTGACTAGGCTAAAGAATAACATCGCCATCGTCTCAAACCACTCCTCCACTCCTCCACCTACACCCTCCTTCTTTCCAGACAAACCGCAAGGATGAAGGAAAACGACGTCATCGCCATCATCATTATCCTCCTCTTCATCGTCCTAGCCCTCATCGCCTTCGGCATCTACAGATTAGTCCACATGGCCCGGGCACAAGGCACAGTCTCCGAAGAGAGCGGGACGGGATCCAACATAACGGACGACGAGTAAGACTGGAAGATGTCTTATACAGAAAGATATAATCTACGACTGAGGTTCTGCCTTTTTTTAATCTGGGCCTTATCTCTTAATTCTTCTATTCGGCGCCGTCACAATTTCCTTGTTCGGAAACCCCCTTTACGGCTGCCGTCCCCACCCGGCGGTGTCGCCCTTGAGGGTTCGACATGCTTATCGCGCGGTATGTCTGCCCGGGAAGGGCAGAATTTCCGAGTCTCAAAGCCAGGACATTTCCGGCTATAATCGAAAGCCACCCGCAGAAGCACCGGCGGCTACGCAGACGTGGCCGTCGAGCCTGGTGGGATATAACATTATCACTTACATGCATATATTTACGGCATTTACGATCTGTATGTATATAAAAGGAGAATCGGGTATCGGGGATCACGGGCGCGAGTATGCATCATCTTATTACCTAGGACTCAGGGATGCGAATGTTTGATATTTTGGGCGACGTATATTATGTGGGTTATTTGCTATCTCTTCGGGTGACCTAGGTGGCTACGAGCGGTGAGGGATTGAGGACATGAATATAAGGAGAGAAACACGCGTGTAATGAGTCACATGATGTAAATATGTAGATGGGGTTATATTAGATACGGGCGGAGAGTTCGAAATAGTCACATGGATAATGAAAGGCTTCGAATCTACCCTTATGTCAGCTTGAAGATTTTATTCTGTACTTGCTTACTCTACCGTGCTACGCCTCCTAGTGTACTCTACCCTATGTGCACGAATGACCTCCACTTCCCAGTATGTTCACCGATGTATAATCTCGTACGTAGTAGAGGGTATCCCATTTTGCACTCGCAAGAGACTAGTATATATCGTGTTACAATGCAAGGCAACATCCCAAACCTCTATCCCGTGATACCAAACCCATATACAGGATGAAAGGGGTACAACAAGAGGCCATGAACAATACCTTGCGTCCGACAAGTAGCTAGAACACAACAGTCTATTAGAGCGCCGTCTAGTCCCCAACCCGCTATTTTATTCGGCCCCCAAACTCCATGCAATGCGTATATCTTCATGGCATAACTACCCCCTTTACCATACTCCTATCACCCGATGGTAAATACAAATCTCAAGAGACCCGCTAGTAGAACCTTTTCCGAGCCAATGCAAAAAGATCGATGTACAACCAAGCTAACTCATACATCCCTTAGACGTATATTTCCGTATGAAGTAGCATGCTCCGTACCGAATCCCAATGCACACGTCATCATCCGTATGCTACATATTATAGATAGCATAAAACCAAAAGATACCAAATCGAAAATTTCCTGTTATATACACCTTGCCAGGCCCGTCCTAAATGGTATCGTAGAGTTAATGTAAACGTATGGTCGTGAAATTTCTTTAGCTCAAGGCTGAGTTTTATCGCAACCGCCAGGTGCTATACCGGCGTATATATATTGCTAAGACCGACTGATCTTGCCACCAGGTTCAAAGGAGAACCATCCTCCTCTTTCCCAATTACCAGGTACGTAAAGAGATTCGGCGCGAACCCCGTCGTTAGTAATTCCGTCAAGCAAGACGTTAAGCCTCTTGAAATCGATCGGCTTTAAAACCCAGCCGTCAAACCCGGCTTCAACATAAATCGGACTCTCCCGCTCCACTAGAGACGCCGAGACAGCAAAGATAGGGATTCTCTCATTGCTAGCCGTTAAATATGAAGGCTCTAAGCCCTTGTCTGACTTCTCAAACGCTCGTATCATCTTAGTACTAGTAAGGCCATCGACAATAGGCATCTATAATTATTAGTTGTGCCTAATGTATGATTTGTTAATAACGACTCACTTGCATGTCCATAAGAATGACATCAAAGCTAGCTGGCTTTTCTTTATAAACAGTAGCGCAATCTTCGCCGTTGACCGCATGATATACTTCATGTCCAGCTTTCTCTAGACGTCTTTGGAGTATCTTCATGTTGATGGGATCATCCTCAGCTACGAGGACCTGTAGTTTACCCGTTTGCTCCTCGTTACCCTTAGCGTTGCCATCAGTCCCGAGCAGTACTCGAGATGTAGTGGCAGTCGACGACGCTCCTAAATTATCGAAATATTCATCTGGCACCCTGATAGGTTTTATGGACGTCCTGGTATCTGTAACATGATACTGACCCCTGGGTGTGAGAGGTTTAGTCGGACCCATAACTGGCTGCTCAAGGTCGATACCGTCAATGGCTGGTGGGTTAATCGCACCCGATCCCGACAAAAGAGCAGCACCAGCGTGAATGTTATCTTGCCGTTCCTTGAAATTCAAGCGTTGTATGCTAGCAGCCCTCTCCTCGAGGCTCCCTATTGATAAGGGTGTCTGAATTGCGTTAATTAGGCGCTCCGCATCACTCTTATTGCTATGAGCACTGTTGCTAGTGCCGCTCTTTATACTACTGGCACTCTTAGCCTCGCCGAAGCTCCGCCTTTCAGCGTTCGTATGTCTCGACACGTTGATTGGAAGGGAATTCTTTCGGTCAACGAGCATAACCTCATTTGCATCAGCTAAGGGGAAAGCTTTGACGATAGGAGCGGTACTCGAAATAGCTTTAGGGTTAACAGCTGCATCGACATCGTCGACTTTCTCCAGCGATTCACCTTTCGGCAATTCAAAAGGAAGCTGGATGACGAATCTTGATCCTTTCCCCTCTTCAGATTTTAGTCGCAGTTGGCCATTCATATTCCGCAATATCCTCGCAACCATGGCGAGACCTAGGCCTAGCGAGCGGTCATTCTCTGGCTTCTCGGTGCCATCAACAGAAGTATATGAGTCCACATCTAAGCTAACTTGCTCTAGGTCTCGAAAGAGATCATCTAACTTTTCGTTGCTCATACCGCGACCTGTATCTTGAACAACAATTTCAACTTTAACGCGTGACTCGAGAACCTCGGTGACGTATGATTCAACCCTTATTGAACCTTCGCTCGTATGCTGCATGGCATTTGCTGTTATATTTGCCACTACCTGACGTACTCGACGATAGTCGCCATGGACATATCGGGGGAGACCAGGGTGTTCAATGAGTTCGTAGGACAAAGCTTTTCGCTTAGCATCTACTTTAAAGGGCTCCGTCGCTTCGCGGATGCAGGCTGGCAAGTCCAATATATCGTCTTTGATCAACTCTTGACCCTCTTCCATATTGGTGAGGTCAAGGAGGTCATTGATCACATAGATGAGCGATTTAGATGCTGAGTGAGATCTTGCCAAATTTTCTCTAGTCTCCTGGTCGAGTTGCCCCTCCATAGCAATCTCTAAACAATTGATGATTGCATTCAGTGGAGTGCGAACCTCGTGGGCAGAATTTGCAAGCAGAAGTCGAGTAAGTCGACTGTTCTGCAACGCAGCCTCTTTCTGCCTCCAGACCTCGATGAATTTACCTAGGTTAATGTAAGTACGATTTAAAATTAAAACCAAAGGGTATGAACACGCGATTCATATACGTACCATATACTAAACAGAGGACGGCAGCAGTCTCCACCTGCTCTTCGGACCACTCCCTGCATTTGCCAACGACGACCTCATTCCATGCTTTGAAGCTTGATCGCGGTTCCAGATAACTCGAAGTACCCTGGCGAATGAATTTTTCGTACGGATTACCTGCCCATTTTACTTCTCTGACTTGACCTTTGCGGAAGAATACAATGAAATCGTTTCCGCCCATACTTAGCGGAACGTACAATAGACCGGCGATAACTGAAAACCCGGGAGGGTAGTGGAGTTCGGGAAAATCCTCACGGATATCCTGAGTAGTCAATACGGAGGTGAATTTTCGCAAACGTAGATACTCTAACATGGCCAAGGCTTCTTGGGACTGTTCAATCTTCCCCAGTATTTTTGTCTCGCCCCGGATGGATAGCAAACCAAAATCTGCGTCAAATAGCTTTATAAGGTCATTAGATGACGCGGTAATATACCCTGAGGGGTTCTTGTCAGTCGGCATAGTATTGATAAGTTTCCTTGCCTGAAGGCGTGACGCGTACGAGAGTCGCTCGATATTTCGCGATGCCGTATCGCCCACTAGCCGACATAGTTTTCGAATCGGGAACGGAACTCGCATTCCGGTAGAACCGTAGCTATGGCATGCAATAAGTCCCCATAGTTCGTTGAAGGCGTTAATGGATATGGACATAGAGGACCGGACGGCCATATTAGCAAGGTATTTCAGGTGGATCGGAGACATGGCTCGAAGATAGGCATGGCTGAGATCGAGCGGCCTTCCTAAGTCCTCAGGAGATCGACAAATTAGCCTTGCAGATTCTAAGTCTCGGTCGTAAAGTAACCGGACTTTATTAAGCTTGTATAGATCTCGCGCTTGTTTCGGGATATCAGAAGCTGGGAAATGTAACCCATAGTAAAGATCACGAGTCTGTACAGGATCAACCAATTCCGTCACAACTTTTCCGTTAAATGCCGCGTCAAATTGATAGATCATGACCCGGTGAAATCCAGTGAGTTCCTTGACGATTCCCACCAATATTTTGAGGAACATTTGCAAATTTGGCGCGGATGCCAACTGATCTTGGACTTGGGACATTATATCAAAAACCTGCATGGCACTAGCTTCACCACGTCTATTTCGTGCGCTTCTAAGAATCCTCAAGGGTCTGCTGCTAGTTTCGGTACTTTCGTGTAGTTCCTCCATCGTTGGGGTTTGGCAGAGAGTATCCTGGGGCCCACCTGATGTCGGCTCATCAGCCGGCCGGAGGGGGTGCTCTTGGTCATCCTCAAGCTCAAACTCGCAGATTATCAGCTCGGGATGGCTTGCATTGATATGTATTGCACACCATAGCTTTATAGACTTCTTATGAGGCGGCCGTATAGATATACTGAATACATCAGGTCCGTTGGTGGCCGGGTCAGCTTCTTCATCTCGGATGAAATCGATATGATCCAGAAGATTATCAGTCTGCTCTTCAGTCAGAATATCGGTGAAGCTCTCAAGTCGAAACAACTCCTGTGGTGAGAACCCAATCATCTTCTTGGAGTTTTCGCTAACGCATCGAACAGTGAGCCGGCCATCGTTTTCCTCCCCAAGAGCGACAAGAAGGCCGAAGGCCTGGACAGCTCCAGGGGTATGGATCGGCTCATCTTCACATCGCTGTAGTTTACTGTCGCGTCCAGTAATGACAGCATGACCTTCCTCTGTAATCACGTGGCGGAACCGGGCTGTCATTAACGTATCATTTAATTCTCCAGGCGATCTACGTCCGGAAGAACCATCAGGGTTACTCCCTTCAGTATTCAAAGGCGTACTGCTCTTCGTCTTATCGGAAACGTCCGAAGATGCATCATTGAAGATAGAAAACGGGCCGGCAGGGACATCCCGTTTCAATTTGGGGGCCGGACTAGCAGCATGTGTTTCTTCCTTATTTGGCTTTTCTACACCATCTTTCTCCTTCGATGGTCCTAGAGACGACGAGACAGGAGTAGACACAGTTTCAATTCTTTTAAGTCCATCAGTCGTGTCTATCGAAAGGCGAGCACTGCTTGGTCGTCGCCGGCCGTCCCAAGTCGACCCTTGGCGGGCTATATAACCTTGTTCTCCAAGATTTTTTACCAATGTAAGGGGCGTTTGTTGCGACTGGTCGACACTAACCACAGAGCGAATGGGGAACACTCTGTCCGAAGGGTCTACATTGCTAGCACTAGTGCCGCGACGATGTTGACTATCCGCACTCGCACTGCAAGATGAAGGAATGTTCGAAGCTCGTTTATACGCAATGTCGCCATTTACCGCCTTAGAGGTTTCCTCTACAGGGATTGGAGGCGACTTTGGTTTTACGGCGGGGGTATCTTCTACAGATGTAGGCGCATTCGTCGATTCCTCATAGTCATCTGCCTTGCAGGATGGCTGGGAAAATGATGTTGTGTTGTCATCATTTTGCGTCCTGGGCTCAGAGGGATCGTTAATAGCATGATCAGCGGTGCGCCGGTTTTGGGTCGCCGAATCTTGACTTAACTCCATGCTACAGGGAGATCAATGGCGGCGACCTAAAAGCCGAGGTGAGTCGATCGCGACCGCAATCTCCTTAGTTATACCACTTGAACTCAGCACGCCCAACTTCCCCTGTGTGGCCCCAATACCAGCGGTACCCCAGCCCTTTTGACAAATAATAATATATATCTCGGTATAGGTTTTCAGCGAGGTAGGTGTAGCACACGAGAGTACCGGGGACATGGGAGGACGAGAGGGGTAGCAAGAGCGAGTTCCAACTCCACAGCAAACAAGTGAAGAATATAAAGATTACTTCCAATCCGAACATCGATAATTGAGCACCAAAATCGAAATTAGAACATGGGAAAGCAACAATAGCAGATCTGTAGTGGGGTCAATTAGGTTAATGCGCTGGGTACCTAACAGAAGGGAAGGAGCCCTATGCTACATAGTCGCCACTTTCCCTCTAATTTTCTCTACTTCCCCTACCCGTGTATAAAAGATAGGTACCTCTTTGGGTACCTAAACCTAATGTACTTACCTATGAGGTACCTCCTATTATGCTAGAAGGACGTCATAAAAAGATGGCGCACCTACTACATCGGAATAAGAGGTATCAATTGCAGACAGATCTATCATTTCTATTTCCCTACCTTAGGTACAAATCATGTATAGGTACCTATGTGCTATGTATTGACCATTAGGTACCTATTCCTTTGATATTAGTGGCGTTAGAAGGAGCATTGACTCCTAATATCGTGACATCATTTTGCAGAGCTACTGTAAAAGACCCTAACTGATTGCATGCTGATTGGGCAGTTCCAAGTAATCATTACCAAAAGAATGGAATTACTGAGTAATCCATTCGGGCAAGGCAAAAACTCTATGTATCTACTCCTTTTACTTCATATTTTAGTACACTACCTTTTTAGGTACCTTACAGCCAGCCAAAATTCCGAAAACCAAAGGTTCACACAATTATAAAATGCCAACTTATTAGTAGGTTAGGTAGAAATCAAGGTGACGAACACGCTGTTGGATGGATTACGTAATTATTAGCTATTACTTGAATCAATATCATTAGGTGCCTATTGTACCCTTTACCCAATAACAGTATCTAAGGCAAAGAAACAGGCAGTTTACAATAAGAGTGTAGAACAAGGGCTCGTTCAAGTTTCCTTGGGCAAGTCCTTTAACCAAACACAATTTAATTATACTTCTTTATATAGGTAGATCGAGAAAACAATATCATAATAACAGCAACATTGTACCTTATCTATCAAAGAATAACATCCTCACCCCTTAGTATAAATATGATTATCTACGCAGCTCAGTAGACCAATATACTTGTCGATTTACTTCAGCACACTCGTCTCCAAAGGATACTTGACATACTAAACATCGTAGGCACTCCACGAAACCGGAAAAGGTAAGTGTATCGGGTAAGCTTTTCGCACTTCAACTAAGAAAATCATCCTTCTACACTAAACCCGATCGTAAGTATGGAGAACGTTTTCAATTTCACGGTGCAAGCCAATTCTACCAATTCTACAGAGCCACCCCAATTCCCGCCATGTGAGCAGGTGGTATGTCCGGAGATCGAGATGACCGACTATGATTATACCCAGGAAAACCAGGCGAACTACTCGGAGGATGTAAAAATGATTGACGCGCATACCCTTCCCCAGCAGGCCCAGGGACTAGTATTGGGTGAGCCGTTTCTGAAAAAGGATGACAAAACTAAACAGAAGTCGAAGCAGACTATTATACTACACTCGGCTGAGACTCAAACTGAGCCTCCTTCAAGTTTCGAGGTTGGAATCTTTGAGTTGCTGAGGGAGAAAAAGATCTACTCTGTCACTTACGAGAAAGGCAAGCTTGAGGTTAACATCGAGTAGCATGGCTCACGTAGCGATATGTGTAGTTACTTCATAGTTTGAGGATGGTAAGTGCCTTCAGTATTGGAGACTATAAGTTTAGGTACCTCTGGGTAGGCAGTTGAGACATTGAGTAATGATTTAACTGTATATACTACAGGTAGTTTTAAGAATATTGCACTCTAAGGTAGCCCGTAGTCAGACGTCTTAGTAGCTCATACTTGACTAAATAGCACATTTCATGATTTTAAAAGTACCTAGGTAATTTAGTGAAAAATGGTTTAATCTATTCGAACGTATATAATTAATTCTGCAGTGACACCGCAAAGCCTTGAATATGTCAACTAAGAAAGTCTATCAAGTATTCGAATGGCATATGTGCAAACCCCGACCCCGACAATGTGAGTTTAGATTGATAATACGTTATCCAGTCGAGTGTCGGCAACGAGATGTAAATGAAACGAGACTGGATGCAAGAGGACAATAAGGGTTAATCCCAGATGACGCCGTCACCAACCCGGGTCATTGAATCAATCAAATCACCAAATGCATCCCGACCCCAATTTACACGCCACTAGCTAGAAGCGCATTTTACCTGCAAGCCGCAATTAAACCCACACTATTATCCCACGTATCGGGTACCCTGACCCTCACGAAATCTCACCAGCCATGGGCAAAGACGCCGCCGCGCCCAAGAACTGGCCACCAACACTCCCCTACCTCCAACAGCCCTCCTACGCGCCCCACGTAACCAAGGCCCAGCAGCAAATTCTCCGTATCCGGGACCCGGAAATCTCAACCGAGATCCCCCGGGACTTTCCGCGCGGCCCCTCGGCCCTCGCGAGGATCATCCCTATCAGCGACCCCTCGCACCCCGCGCGCGGGCAATCGGGGCTGTTTGCCGCGCGGCCGCTCCCGCCCGGTTCCCTCGTGCTCCCGTACTACGGGGTCGTGCACTCGTCGGTGCCGCCACACTCTGCAGCCCACGAGAAGTCGGATTACGACTTATGGCTAGACCGGGACGGGGCGCTGGCCGTTGATGCAGAGCGCGCGGGCAATGAGGCGCGCTTCGTGAATGACTTCCGGGGGGTCGCGGCGCGGCCGAACTGCGAGTTTAGAGAGTGCTGGGACCTGAGGCGAGGGGAGAAGTGCATGGCTGTCTTCGTTCTGCCAGCCGGCAAGAACGCGGGGAAGAAGGCTGCTGCGGGCGTTGCAAAGGGTGAAGAGATCCTTGTTAGTTACGGGAAGGGATTCTGGAGCAAGAGGAGAGATGAGCTTGAAGAGGAAGGCGACGGCGTAGTTGACGAGGTTGCCTCCTGAATGAAGGAACGCTACTATCGGTAGTGGAGTTAAAAGCTCAGCATTAGAGAGTTATTAAGTCTATCGACTCGATTTATGTTAAGAAATGAAATGGAAAATGTGTCAATTTTGGTTTCCTTTAGCATCTATGTAGACATTTATCGTACCAAGTATAAATTGGCTGGAGCAGAAATGCTCTGCTCCGTAGGGCACCCAACTTCGTCTTGGTCCCGGTCTCTTCTACCTCCTCCCCGTTTCTCTCTATATCTCTCTCTACAGGAAATTCCTGTAACCATACCCTTCGTTCTCTACACCAAATGAACTATACTTGGGATCAGTTCCCGCCTGACGTGCCGCCTCGTCGTTCTTCTCAAATTTCTTGTTCTCCCAGCTCAGGTAGGTACGCAGGCCCAAGGCCAAAAACGCATTGAAGAACATGAATCCGGCGCATACACCCATCCCCTTAATGTAGTACGGCCCATCGCTGGCCGGGAACAGCCGTGTTCCGAGTAATGGCCCGCATTGACCGATTATGTTAAGGAGCGCGATACCGGCACCTCTCTTAGAATCCGATCCTTGGTTGTTCAAAGTCCAAGGTAGAATGTTGGATATGGCTGGGAACACACCGGCAGCGGCAAGGAATACGCCAAAATAACGCACAGCAACGCTCTTGCAGGTCAGGAGAAGAACATACCCCACACCAGCGACAAGTGAGAGGCCGATGATCATGAAACCGCGCTGACGTGTCTTGTCTGCGATCGCCGTCGTCACAATACAAACCAAGAAGGAGAGGAAGTAGGGCGGAGCACTAAGCCCCTGGGCATTGATGGCAGTAAACCCCATGTTCTGGAGGATAGAGGGCAGGAAAACGGGTAAGCTACTAAACGAGACTGTTTCGAGCGATTAGTTTATACAAGAAATTAGGGAAATTGTAATGCTCACCATTGCAACTGAAGTACACTATAAGGGGTTAAAGTCAGCCGCTTCCGCTTTTAACGAGATGATAATGGAACAGTCATCGAATTTATGGTCCCTGATAACAAAAAGCCAAGGTCGGTAGTACTTACTGAAAGGTGGAATCCAAGTTTTAATATCCTTTAACGACATGAAAACGTCTCTGAAATTGATATGCCCCACGCGTTCTACTCCTTCGGTTCCGGTCTGCTGAATAGCTCTAATTTTAGCGACTTGTCTTTCCTCTTCAGTTAAGAACTTCGCTGTATCGGCTGAATCGGGCATATACGTATAAGCAAGAAAGGCGACAAGCACCGAAGGGAGCCCTTCCACGATAAACAAGAGTCTCCAATTAGCTATATGAGCTGGGTGGCCGGAGGTTATCCCGTAAGCCAGGGCGCCCGCGAAGGTGGTCTATTGTCATTAGAATCATCTAAGCATGTCTATGAAAAAGGAGAGTTTAACAGGGGAGGGTAAATAGTTTATACATTATTATATAATAAACGAAATCATGAAGGTAGCCATTAATTAGGGAAATACACATACGGCAAGAGGGGCGGCTGAGAGGAACATGCCGCACCTAAAACCGAGCTCGTGCCTCTTATAGAAGAAAGAAAGCAGGTATGGTATTCCCGGTCCAAAACCTGCTTCGGCCATAGCGAGGAAGAATCGGCAAGCCATCAGACCCGACCAATTGAACGCAGTAGCCTGGAGAGAAGACGCTATGCCCCTGTATGTAGACTAATAAGCATTTGATGTGCGCATGTTTTCCGTGGGGTTACTTACCATAACAACACACAGCTAGTAGCCCAAACTGTGAATGTTAATTAGTTACGTGCACATAACAAGAGAGTTATGAGTATGGTTGCAATAGAAGCACGTCCTTCCCCGAGCGTAGTAGCTCTTAGGGAAATATTGGTTTGCCGTATACTTCAAGCCACGAAGCAAAGGAGACGATATAATAAAATGCATTTGGGAAATACATACTATGACTATCAATAGTCGTTAGCAAAACCCAAATAGTTATTAAGTTATTAGCCAAGGAGAACTTACGGAGGCACGGCTTTCCACATCAACGCAGACCATTCAAAAACGACTATCAAATTGGATTAGCCATCATCATAATAGAGAAGACTGATTTCGACGCCGGAGTGAAACTCACTGTATGGTATGTAAAAGATAGTCAACAGCCACTATGTCGCCATATCATTAGTATAAAAGTCCGCTTATCATAGAGATTGAAGACAAACCTGGTAGTGAGCATCATCAAATCCGAGGTCCTTGCTCCTGCGTCAGAAAAGACCCGTTAGCAACTTTGCACTTTGGGGATTTGCTGACGCCATCCGATGTTTGGTACTCGATCCCCTCTCTCTCCCCAGTGCTTATCAATGGTGTTTATCAATAATAGCAGTAAAGAAAAGAATGATGAACGTACATGCCTGCCGTCTCGGCATTTCCAATATTTGAACGGTCAAGGAAAGAGACGAGATCTATTAACCGAGTGTAAGTCGTGAGCCTATGCGGGGTATTATATATGAAGCATGAAGACACTTACAAAGTCCCATAACTAAGGGAATCAAACGGCGATCAATTTTCCTCCTAACCCGCTTCTCAAGGGCAGGATCGATGTGAAAAGCATTGTTCTCGAGTCCCAGAGACTTCTCATCGAGGCTAGCACGTGCACCTTCACGCATATCCTGCGTAGGCTCTTGGTCGCTTTTGGAAATGTCCATTCTGACTGTAAAGTCAGTTCACCTCAGGACGAAGTTACTTGAAATGGATTCCAAGAAGCGGATATGATGCCCAAACGGTCTCGGTAGTTGGACGGTGTGTTGGCGCGCCGTCTAATACGAGCAACGGAGAGTACTAACGGCCAGAAAGTCACAGCGTCGACGTATAGAAGATAGCGGTATTGTATAAAGAACTAACAAAATAACAATGACATTTTGTATTCAGATTCGTTGAATTTCAATTATCTGGTTTTATACCGGAAATAATGGCATGGGGATAACTACGCGGCTTCCCCGCTTCGGTATAGATCAAGTACCTAAGGCAGCCACTCGGAATGAGGTACGAGATTACCATTGTAGTAGCTATGGGTACTACTGCGCTGAATGTTACCGATGTGCCGCTTTGCAACCCACTGCCGAACCCCAGTTCCGTGTTGGTCGCTGGGGGTTGCGTAAGATCCCCGTACGAATGACCTCTCTTGAATAATATCATAACGTTTTCATGCGCTTTTAGTAAAGTGCGGAGAGGCACGACGGGCCGGTTTTTAGGAAGAAATAGTCCAACCTTGCGCAACCAGCCTTAACCTAAAACGCAATAAGCTTAAATCAGATGAAATAATTGAGTTGAGAATCTGGTTGGATATTTGATTTGTTACCCAAAGCACCTAGTTACGTTACGCTATTAATGAAATTGCTTGACCCTAGATACTTAAGATATACGCATACTCTATATATCAATTGCCCAAGTAGTCGTTGCGATGAGCTTCTGTTTAGTAGGTATATCTAAAGGCTGTAATTGGTAGAGTAATAAAAGTATTATCATATCAAGTAATCTAACAACAATCTTCAAACTTGGTAATACATCGTTAGTAATCTCGAATCTCGAAAATGTCGTCAATACCGTAATATAACAATTACGGTTAAGTTCTAAATGGTCTTTGTCTAAATAATATATAGCTAATGTAAAGTATGAACTCAATTCGGCATACTGTATATGAATTTTTCCTAATGAGCCAGATACCATGTAGATGCGAATAGAGACGCTAGGTATATGTTAGTAGCTTCCTATCTCTTTCAACCGTCTAAGGCCATTCCTTCCACTGTCCAAGTAAGTACCTAGGTAGAATGGAATGTACCTATGATGTGGCTTCCTTCGGCCGTCTACTTGTGAGTAAAGAGCAATAAAAAAGGAAGCTTCTGTTTAGGGTTAAACAGCACATACCTAAAACATCAATAAAAATATTCAAACATAGACGTCACAGAAAGATTAGTGAGCTTTGTTCTCTAGATCCACTAGTTGACGGGTCGGGGTCAATTAGACAATATACATTAACAACAACAGACATAGTAATGGTATCCTAGTATTGCCTAGAATCAATCTTTATTCCCCCTTTCATCTCGGAAACTAATTATTACGAATCTTCTATGTATGACCGGCTAAACAAACGTCATGTTAGACCTGAAAAAACTTTACGGAGACTTCTTTCTTTGTTTCGGCCCCTTGTATAATAACAGTCTCTTTCCGCAGTTAACAAAGAGAAGTCGTCGAGAACCCCACATGGGCACGGGAAGAAAGAACGAAATCATGTATATAGCGTTAAGCTCAAGATGGCCGGCCAAATCAGAGGAAGTAGCGACAGGACAGGGAACGAAAGGAAAGAAACCCTATATAAAAAACCAATCTAAAAGTCATCATGAGTAACTCTGTAACAAACCGCCTCTTCTCCGGAAAGAGCGAGAAGATCGGAACCCAATTTGTGGACTTTTTTCGTAAGCCAGGAGCATTAAAAGACGTCGAGGCGTACCTAAATCAGACTAAAGACCACTGTTATGGTAATCACGAGAAATGGATCAAGGAGAAGACGGTTTTTACTGGATACACCGGCGGTCCTGCCCTCCTTGCCGAAGGTGAAAACGTACTTATAATAGGGAACCACAACTCTTTTGACGTTACCCAGTACAAAGAGGACCCGGCAAAAGCAGGCATGTCGATGATCCATATCCTGGGGATCCCCAAAAAGGGAATTTTCAACGGTGTATCGCTCAACCACAACACTGTATCCGTCATCGACGAGACAATAGACCTATTTAAGGACAAGTGGGAAACTCCCGACTTTCGCCAGAAAGTCCTAGACTACCAGAAGTTAGCTATAACGAACCGGACTTCCACAGAATCGCTTGCAAGACTGAATGAAGAGCTTGACCCAAGGCCGGCCCTAGACGCAGGAGATGAAGCCATTAGTCACTGGAAGGAACTCGAGGCCGGGATCCATAGCTTGAAGTTCGACGACTTCACCTTTGGTCTCCATCTATGGCCTGACCATAGCGTAGGCCATCTTCACCTGCATATTATCGCTACGCCGGATTGGTGCCGCAAATATAGCACTTTTAAGCACGACGAGAAGACCAAGGACGCCCTTGAAGTTTGCAATTTCGTCCGAGGTCTTTCTCGCGTCTAAACCTAGTTAACATAGAAGTAAAGTAACCGCCTCACCGGCGTCTCAACAACTAATGTAATAACTTAAACTATTCTCTTAGAAGGGCCATGGCCGTTCGTGATAAGTATGACAGAACTCACTGCCAAGGTTGTACAAACTAGATTCAACCCCTGAAAAATTTTCACCGAATACATTGCCAAAATATACCACCCGGGATAAAATGAAAAATGTATTAGGTACGCTTATAATCCGAACTTGATTAATATTCCCTCTTCCTGAATTATTGATTTAGTGGTAAATTACAACCCTTAATAATTCGGTGCTAATATGCCGACTTTATCGTCGCTCCTTAATATTAACCCCCTGACTACTAATTATATTTGCTATCCGAAATATTAGAGACTAATCGCAAAACCTTATCCTATTATATTAATAAACTACATCGATAATAATTCCTATATTACTCACGTCAAGGGGCGTGTAGACTATCTACATTGAGCCTTATGTCCTGTGTAAAAGGGGTGCCTGTTAAGAGGATAAAAAAGTTACATACTACTAAAGGATATTTTTATCACAAATAACAAACATAATAGGTAACTATAGTTGACCAATATAATATAATATTAGACATCTAGTAGAGTCTTACATTCTACACTTCCGCCAAAATAGCAAACCATATTAACTTTAACTACCTCCATCATGGCTTATAAAGTATCTACCTAACTGCCTAAGGTACTATAGGATTTCTTAAGAGATATACCTTACTTTCTACTTGCCTATCTCAAATTACGAAGAATACTGTGCAATCTCTCATACAAGCTAATAGACTATTACTAGAATAAGCTGCTACGTGTTTTCCTCCCAAAAATGATTTGCCAGCTACCTGAAAATTCTATGGAGACTATGAAGGCTACTATGATTTACCATGACTGCGGTATATACTAAAATCTTCGAGGCACGCTATGGTACCACTCAGGGGCATAGGGGCAACGTTTCGGGGTATTGAATTTCGCTTAACGACTGCTGAGAAACAAACACCCTACGCCTTGTAAAAATTACCCTATAACTTCTCCTTAGCCTTTTGATCCTCTCGGACCTTCTGCATGCTCCTCAGCAGCGCATATAGTGTCTGTAGCTTGGGCATATCCACGCCAGCTCTCCTGGCAATCCTAATCGGATTCCCAAGTATGACTTCAAGCTCCATGGGTCGGCCAGCCTCCCAATCGAGCAGCATGCTGGGCCTAGCGCCGGCGTTCCTTTCGGTGCTGCTGATGATCTTCTCAGGCTTGGCCAAATTATCTGGGAACGGTTTACCCAGAACCTTGGGTGCGGCGTTCCAGATCTCGCTCATAATGCCCTGGATGTGTTCGCGTAGTTCAGGATCGGTCAGCTGGTCGGCGTTGCCACGGCCGCCGGATAGCACGGCTGTGGGGTTGAAGGCGGCGTTGATGCAGAGCTTGTGCCATCGAATAGTCTGCAGTTCGAGCTCAGTGTGCGCCTCGACGTCGCGGATGCCACCGTGTCGAGTCCACCACCGCGCTAACTGATCCATGCGTTGGTGGCCTTGTTTCACTACATCGCTTGGCTCGTCGTTCGGGTCAGGCGGTGTGCCGAGTCCACTGCCGTACGGTCCCAGGCTAATTCTCGTCCACCTGTTCTGCCGTACGACGCCATTCCTGATCTGCTCGGCGCTAATGACGGTAACAGCGCTCACTATCGGATTTTGCGGGAAGCGCTTACGGTATGGCTCCTCTACGCCTACGCCATTTTGTATCAGCACTATACAAGTCTTGGCGGAGACTAGCGGTGCGACTGTAGCTGCGTCGTCGGTCCGGTCGGGGAGAGCTTTGGTCGTCACTATGATATAGTCCCAACCATCTCTCGGGGGTTGCCGTGTAGGTGCGGGATTGGTTGTAGCCGACGGGGTCGGGACGGCGTGCGCAATGGAGGGAAACACGGCATAGGGCGAAAAAGTATAATCGCCGAATGAATGAGTCTCCAAGATGACTCCAGAGGCGGCGATAGATGAGTAATTGGATCGGGCGATAAGGGAGGTGTAGATGTTGTGCGAAGGCTACGATGTGCCATCCACGGCGCAACCGTCAGCTGTATGTCTAACATACCGGTGACGATGCCTCGATGCTTACATGGTGGAGTCGGGATGCGTAGAAGCAGCCTACTGCGCCAGCGCCAACGAAGAGGATATGGACCGGTCTAGAGTAGTAATATTAGCTGTGTACCTTTGGGCGGTGGAGTGGCGGGCAATTGCATCGGTGGCGCACTTCGTTGGACTATCTGAGTTCGCCATGGCCGTTGTGGCTTGCGGACAAGAAAGACAGGGAATTGGAAAGATGTGATGTGACTAATTGGCACTAATTGGCAATGTAGGTTGGAATTGTATGAGCTTGGTTGTGCCCGGTTCCCGGGTTTCTGTCTTGGTCGAAAAAAGGGAGATGCTGTAAGATAGAAGATAGTCGAAGCTGGAGAAAAGCCACGGATCGGAGAACAAATCGGGCGTTTTTCTGACTGGCGCAAAAGCTAAAAGCTAAAAGCTAAAAGCTAACAGCTGAAAGTTCAAAGCCCACGTTACCTAAACTTTAAATGAAGATTGGAGAATCTCGCTTGAATTTCATTGAATTACCGAGGTTGCACCAATTGAACTACCTACATGTAATTGTATGGTACCTACGTCAGGTACCTACCTAGGTATATGAGGTAACTTGGGTACTTCAGGGTAGGTAAGGTTATACACTATATGTAATTACATGTACAATCGTAACTTACCTCAAAGAGTTTCAACTTTTACTACATAACTAGTTAGTTATTGATCGTGTGTTTATGTCTTTTAACTTGATGTTTTTTTCTAACAAATCAACTCTCGAAATGATTAGCTCGATGAGTCTATTCGGGGAGGCGGACATCGATCTATCGCAGGAAATCAAAGGCATCGTCTATCGTCCAGGCTCGGTTTCAAAGGTTTCCGGTGAGACCATTCTCTCTCACCCTGTTGCTTATTCGATATTAAACAGTTCGGGTAATCAAAGGGTCCGTGTTCGACGTCAGGGGCTCTAATCAAAAGGCCCTAATCCTGCCTCTGTCATGCGCCAAGAACGAAATATGCGTACTGCTGCAATATCTATATTAGAAACATGAAGCGGTCAGTAGATGCGGCGTTGACCTACATTACATACCTAATGTATGCGTTCCCGTCGCAACCGGGCGTGTCCAAGACATATACCAGTCTGGGCCCAGCTTCTCTTCGGCCCCGTTCCGATCGTGGCGAAACCGTGGCGGCTACCCGCTCATCCGTTTCACCCGACCCGTCGTTGCTTTTACCTACAGAGACGTGAGCCCAGACTCTTGGTATTCTGGGTACTCTTGGCAATGACGCCGCGAGATGGTGCGCGGGCGCTAATCTTGTCAGACAAAAGCCGTGTAACTATATCAGATACCACGCCCAGCCTCGAACACAAAAGAGAACGCTCGAAGAAAAGGGGGTGGTAATTCGTGCATCACTTCGTAACAGGCGTAAATGGTAGGGCGGCCAAGACCACGCCCGTTGAGCTTTAAGGGGGGAAAAGGTGAGGCGCGCGCGCACCCGGATGTAATGTTGTCAGACGCGTGATCACCAGGACAGAGCGAATGCCATGCCCCATACATGTAATGGCACGTCTCAACAAAGAAGGACCAAGATTCCCCCGCTAATCGAACTACTCGTGGGGTCAACTGTGGAGGATGATGGGACAAAAGGGCAAAATGGGATTCCCACACCATGTTTGCCACGTCCACCTCTTCGCCCCAAAGCTGAACTCATCTGATAGTGACGCGCGCACAGCTACCGTAAGCTCTGATGGCGAGGAAGTGCGGATGGCAATCATGCTTCGGCCCTAAAAGGCCTACTATAACTCACGTCAGCATGGGGGTTACGAGGATGGAGGAGATAGAGACGTAGTGGCAGGGGAGGGGCTTGCAGGAAGTCCGTCAGTTCCGGTATCATTGTTACACTGTTCCTCAAGGGTCTTACGAGCACGTTCAGGGGCGTTCTCAACGCCGGTCCAGGCTCCCAGCCCTGACACAACGTATTTCACTAAGGTAAGTCTCGTATCATGAGGAAAAAGAGGAAAGGGCCTGGGCTCCGCCGGCGGCGCGGGGGTTTAACGAAAGGTCTCAGACGGAAACAACTAAGATGAGGTGTCGCGCCGCTCCGCGTTGCGACGGGGGGAAATAAAACTAAGGGTTACTCATTCCTATTCGGGCTATTGTCTAGCTGCTTCAACCCCTTCGTGGTGCGTACACATATTAGAATAGCTTATTAGTGACAAGGGAGTTTCCGACGGTAGTCTCTCTTCATAGAGCCGAACAGGGTTCCGTCGTGTAAGACATATCCCCGGGGGCAGACACACGCTTCGGCACGGCAGCCAATATTGCTTGCAGCTCTTGGCTAGATCACATCTTTGACAGCCGCATTAGTTTCCCACCTAGCTACGGAGAAGGGGGGGGGGGGGGGGGGTGGTGATTTAAATCAAAAAAGAAACGTCCATGTTTCGAAAAGGGAAAAACGAAACAAAAAAGCAAAAACGGTTCTAATTCCATTAGTTTAGATTTGA